GTGGGCCTCCAGTTTGACTAAGACTACGACTACTAGGACTTTTTTTTAAAGCTTTTAAACATCAACTAGACAGCTGGTTTGCTATAGATTAGGGTGCATATCAGCTAAATGATCCAGTTAATGGAGCTATCTAAGCCTGAATGATCTAGTCAATGGGGTTATCTAGCTTTAGTCTTTTAATGCAATACACTTCCTATTCAGCACACAAAACATTAGCCATACATTAGTCATATAGTACAGTAAATAAACAATTCTTTGCTAATACTTTAATCTTAATGCATTGGAATCTGCGACCTGTAAAAGTTTATGTCGCTCAATAAAGTAAGCGCCTATGAATGTCATTCACTGTCAACAATCTTAGTTTGAGATAACGGAGCTCCATAAGGCAATGGCATAGTTGGCTGAACATTGTCACATTATTGAAACAATCTTTGCCTTGGCATTTGCATTTTCGACTATATTATTGGTCTTTTGGAGGAGAGTGTTCAACAGCTGGTATTTTCAGGTGCTGTTGCTGAGTATTGGACATTCAAAAGCAAAATGGTCCCTCTTCCATTCCTGCCCAAGGGAACATGGAATTCCTGAAATAAATAAGTATGAAGAGAACGGACCATTTTACGATATGAATTCAGTGAGTGACGGGCTGCTGCTTCGAAGTACTAAGTTCACCTCTCAAGCAGTGCCTGTACAGTGGATGTTTTAGCGACAGCCAAATGAGTCCTTCTGTTAGAGTGTTGTTTTCAAATTTTCTTTTCGCAAGTACGTGCAATAAATATGCTTTCTCACTGCCGTTAATGCCCGTGTGAGCTAGAACTAGAAATTGTCGTTGAATTGTGGCTGTCATCTTGACGCTAGAAACAGCTAAAATGTTTGTACTTACTTACGATACAAAGCTTTTATGTTTCAAACACATACACAGCAAATATATTGTTTACTAAAATAACCTTTAATACAGTATAATTCCACATTAACCTTACATTTTCGGAATGGATCAATGAAAACTACCAATAAATCGACGACATCGCTTAATCAGAGTTGATATATGAGATAAAAAATTTTCTATAACATTTCAAGCTTACACAATTAAAGAAAAATTCTCTATCTTTGAATGCTTCAAAAGAAGCCAACTGTACATGAAATTATGCGTTAAATAATTTTAATACTCATGTATTTAAATTGCATGTCAGCACAAAGTAGGCTGCATAATCTGCATGAAATATGCAATTCAAGACCAATGAAATGCCGCCCAGTCGGTATGGTAGTGAGAGGAGCTGACTGCGATGCCGAAGGGCCTGGGTTCGAATCCCGGAGAAGGCATGGTTGTAACTGTCCGTTCCTTCATAGGAAAGGCGATGGCGGCCCACCTATGAGGTGCCTCCGTAATAAAGAGACCACCACATCCGGCCTTGAATAGATTAGTGGACTGGGTTACATTTGTAATTGTTCACAATCTGCCAAAAAAAAAAAAAAAAAAAAAAAAGCCAGTCAATGAAATACCTGGCTTTAGTAACAGCAGTTTGGAATTTCGAAGGTGCAATTGACTTCTTCACTAGACCTGAAGGGAAACAGTTACTAAATTATTCAGAGTCTGCAGACAGTTTAGAAAATTTTAAAGCACAAAGAAAACCCGTGAAAGCGTTACGACTTCTACTCATATTCTCTTCTTGATGACCCTTGTCATTTCTAATGCAAATTTGGGTTCTTGATTAACTACAAACAAGAGCGAATAATTAGATTTTAAAATGCTGAACTTTTAATAAAAGGGGGAACTATGTTTTTTAATTTATGATATTTATAAAACTTATTCTAAAAATGGATTTATATTATTTTAGAAGGGAACCAAAGAAATAAATATGTATTACTCAAACGCAGAATTTACTAAATGTAATGTAATATACATATATTAATATGAAGAGGATTAATTTTATACAGTTTGAAAACTGCATGGTTTGGTGTACATTGAAATTATTCGACAGAGCCAGACAGCAAATATTATATCATCAAAGTTCTTATGATCAATTTTCAATAAATGACAACACAGAGCTAATTACTCGACCTTTGATTATCCAAAATTCCATTTTGTCAGCCCACACCATGAAAATGTAATCCATGCTAAAAATATTCTTCTGTGTTTCACCCAAATTATATTGGTCTCATTGCTTCAAAAACGAGTCACAGTTCCGAGAATAGTAAATCTCACCTTTATTTCAATCATAACACTAATATACCATCTCGCATAGTTGACATTGTTATATATTATTTTCTCTTCATATTCATGATAAATACATTTTTATCTCTATCACTTACTTATAAGGTGTTCTAGGCATTCTAATGAATCCATCTTTACTTTCGAATGAAATAATTTTACAACGATAAAAGTGAAAGAATAAGATTAGGCAAAGATTTGAATGTCCAGTTAGTATATTGCGTCAAATGTGAAATAAAATGTTCCTTGTTCAGCACGTCTATTTCAATATCGATATCTTCAGTAATTCTGTATTATCCCACACCTTCTGTTATCCGTCCACCGTTCACTTTCATTAATGTCGGACGCAGGGACTCCTCTGCATTATTAAATAAACTCTCCTTAAAATACTACATTTGCGTAGAATGAGTCCTGTTGGAAGCTTGAAGTGAAAGCAAGTTCAAATAGTTTGACACGAAAGCCATAAAATATTTACATGGTGACATTAATCGCTACTTATGGGCCACAAAAATACAAATGGCGGTTTAAACAGAAGCGGATATAGTGTGCATTTATATTTATGGATTTTCAATTATTTTTTTTTAATACCATGATTGGCCGCGCATAACAAGAATACTATACGAAATATAAACTATCCAGCGGTGTTAGAGGCCTTTTTCAGTAAGTGCGTTTAGCATCGTCTTCTAGATTCTGAAGTCTTAGAACAGCATTATAGGCCAAACAGTAACTGATTTCCCCTTACAAATTCATACATTCCAATGCACTCTTGCAAAAGTTCTTAGCTGTTTTTCGTGCGATATCGTAAATGACGTCCGCACTTGAATTTTAAGACGCGCACACACAAAAAATGAAGAACTAAGCAATCTTCATTGAGTACTAGTGGAGAAAAATATCTGCCAAAAAATAATAAGAGAAAATGCAAAATGTACTCTACCCCTTTCCCGTGTTTCGGTGAAATGAATTTAATTGCTTACTTCTCTAAGTGCAACTAGAGCAGATAAATTTCATAAAGCAAGTTAACATTCTAAAACATTTTATTTTCAAAGTGTACAACAAAAATAACTATTCGTTCGACGACAATGACCATTGAAAACTGTTGTTTTCATAATAAAGCACTGTATTTTTACATTTTATTAAATTATAGAATACGACTAGACTTCTTGAAAGATACGGCTCATCATTCACAGTATATGCATAAATGAGCCAGTTCATTAAACATAGCCCTCTACAACGGTAACACCTTCATAATCAAATGCCTTTTTGCATTTTTCCATTATTAAATGCTAAAGTACAGTTAATTATCTAGCAAGTAAGAGACCCTTTCTGATTTTCGATCAAATATATTTATAAATTCAAAAGGTAAGAGTTTTCTTGAAAACAGCAAACGAAAACCTCGAAACTTAACAAACACAAAATTCTAACAGAAAGCAATAAGTGGCTATCTGGATATTGAAAATGAATTGCCGGAAGTGTTTTAATCAGTGGCACCGGAAATTATTCCCCACCTTCCTTCTTTTGTTTTATTTGGGGGAGAGGTAGCACTTAACAGCCTGATAACCACAAAAGGAATTGCTTGCGCAGCAGCTTTATTTTAGTTTCGAATATCATCATAAAATTAAAACTTGGAAAACAGATTAAGACTGTTAGTCACTTGTAAATTGCAGTTAACCGCTATTTGATCATAACCGTTTTCTAGACTTACATGGAAAAGGAAAATTAAACTCCATGCTAAACCAATTAAATGTCACTTTATGAAAGTTCTGTTGGTTGCACTGATATTGAGCATCATTCGAGAATAATACAGAGTAAATTAAAAAAAAAAATTAATAAGCGAATAAATAATTTTTTTTTAATCTGAAATTTTTCAGATTTCATATTACGCCCAAAGGGACGGTTTTTTTATTTATTAATTTTTTATTTACACACACATACACGTTTCGAGAGCATTCGACCAACGCCCCTTCGGCTAAAAATATTTAAAAACAGGATATCTTTAGAATTTCTCATAGACAGTCCCGCGCGATGGATATAAAAATGTTTTATTCCGTACAGTGTTTGTTGCCACTGCTCGCTTTGAAATCGTTGAATGTTTGATCAAAAATCGTTAAAGTTTTACAAAATATGAAATATATAATAAAACAAATTCGAAATTCGAAATTCAAAACTCTGCTTTCCAGGTGTCAATATTCAAAATTCGATAGCTCTAGGTACTGCTATTTTTTCACAATGCGAGAAATATACATACGTACATTCATGCAGATTCTTTATTATACAAGTCCTTTAAATATAACATGGGGAGATAATATTTGGTGGCAACAACCTGAAAAAAGGCTAAACGCTTTTAGTGACTGGACGCAAAATGCTGTTTCGATACTAACAGCCCTTTTAGGTTAAGAATAAAAATGAATAATAAAGAAATAAAATGAAAGTTGAATGCGAAAAGTTTACAAAGATCTAACTGATTGTAAAAACCCATAAAACGTTCATAATAAGAAAAAAGGGGATAATAGGATACTGAAATTATAAGGTATTTCCCTTCTTCTTAGCATGCCTTCGTAGTGCAGTGCTCAGTACGCTCGATGCGAATTGGAGAGGTCCGCGGTTCGATTGCCGGCGAGAGCATTGCTCATTTTTCCTTCCAAAAAAATCCTAATGTCTCTACAGTGGAGCCCGAACTAAAAGGTTGTGAATGATGATTCTTCACCATCAGGATTTGACGACTGGTTTCCCTTAAAACCCCAGTCGCCCTTTAAAACGGGGAGTATATAAGGTATTTCTCCCTCCTTCTTAGCATGCCTTCGTAGTGTAGCGGTCAGCACGCTCGACTGGAATTAGAGAGCTCCGCGGTTCGATTCCCTGCGAGGGCACTGCTCATTTTTAAAGTCTCCTGCTTCCAAAAAATCCTAATGTCTCTGCAAAGCATCCAAAACACAAGCAATTAAATTAATATACCGATTCCTAGCGAATGCGGACATTAAGTAATACGTCCTAATTAATTCAAAAAACTGCAATAATAATTGAGAAGGTACATGCTCCAATAACACGCTTTAATACCTGCTGCCATTCACAATTATAGATAGGTTGGAAGTTTCCTTACATCTACCAAACACCTCACAAAATTTTAACTGCGTAATACTATTTCTTCCTTGTGAAGCTAAAAAATTTCACCCTCCCTACGTACATATACATAATTTTGAAAATGTTTCTAAGAGCAATCAATAATCTTAAACTGCAGACGTGAATTATTGATAGAATACATAAAAATCACCAATATAAATAAACCATACAGAATATAAATAAGTCATACGGAATCTCATATTAAGTAAAAAATGATGATAATGCATTATCCTCTTTCACGGAAATGATTACTCGATACTTTTACTATCAAAAAAAAGAAATGAATACAGCACTTTCGATTCTTATAGATAATCAAAATCTGATAACAGCGTTACGACAGTTTTAATTTTTTTTTTTTTTTTTTTTTTTTTTTGTGTATTTAATTCTTTAATTCTCGTTTTAGCTGCTGCTTTCAGTTATTTATTTTATTATTTTGTTCTCGAAGTCAAAATTAACTCACAGGTCAGATAATCGCAAAATCACCAGAAATTGATAGCGTAAAAAGAAAAATCAAAATGCTTGTTTTTGTCTTATTAAACGCATTGAATTTTTTCACGCAGGGATTTCAACACGAAATTATGTTAAAAGTATTATTTTAAACAGACAAGCGTAGCATCTTGCACACAAAAAATAACATTAGAACTGTAGCAATTGAATCATATATTTGCGGCGAAATAAAAATATCTAAAATACGTCTGATAAAAACAGCAGCACAGGAAAAAAAAGCTACTTAGGTGTGTGGTATATGTATACATAAGTATTAAAAAATAATCTTTTCTCGCGAAAGCATGCTTAAAAAACTAAAACTCCCATGGCTTCATTGCACATTTTTTGCTGCACTTCATTTAAACTTATTTCCTGGAATTTCGTTAGAGATATATTTCTCATCCAATCAATTCAATTCTCACTTCGCGGCAAGGCAAAAAATACATAAAAACTTAAAATATCTTCATTAAAAATTGTAAAATACAGAAAAACCTAAAACACGAAATACAGTTTATTTTATTTTTTTTTTTATTTTTTTTTATTTTTTTTAAACAGTTAAAAGTAGAAATTTCAAGACAAAACAAGCAATAGAGTTAACCCTTTCCGGCACGCTACCAATTTGTCGGAGTCGGAGTTTTGGTTTAAAAAAAAAAAAAAAAAAAAAAAAGAAGGCAGTCTTAATTAAACCTAGAGGAGTACACAAGTAAAATTTTGTGAAGATAGCACTTATCATTTATTTCTATGAGTGTGCCCGAGTTTCGAAAAGAGGGCTGAAACGAGCATTGTTGTCAATGAACTGACCGAGAGATGCGGAGAAACAAAGAATACAGAATCTCCAGTTGTCCTAGATTATCGGTGAGCCCAGTCTGGGCACACCTAGGGTTCGCCGTTTAATTTTAGGCCGATTTCAAGGTAAAAATTAAAAACTAATATAGAATAAGGAGATTAGCACACAGCCAAAAAATAACATAGAAATTCTTTTCAAAAATTTGTTTATACCCTAAAAAAAATCTGGAAAATTTCTTGAAAAATGAGGGTCTTAAAAAACTAAACATGGCTAAAATATATGGACTGGTTTGTGTTCAGCTGCCATCTACTATAAATAAAGAAGGTTCAGAGTAACCTATAAATCCTTTTCATTCAATTTTTTTTTTTTTTTTTTTTTTTTTTTTTTGTGCGTACAGAAGAAAATTTTAAGGTGTGTCCAGAGCGGACACACTGTGCCGCAAAGGGTTAACAGGCACGAAAATGAAATTTTCGTTTCACAAAAAGTTAACTTCTGTCCTGGCATAAAAACCTTAACCCGAACATAAGAACGAGATTATTCAATCACCTTTTAAAGCAAAAACTTACCAATTTACCAACATATAAGCATAAAAAAACAGAGCTCACTGAGCCGGTTGAGAGCTTGGATATATATGTTTGGCGATGCCGATTCCAACAAAAAAAGAAGGTGCATAACTAGATGTTATAACAGTAGTATATACAAAATTTCAACGTTCTACGGCTAATCATTTTTGAGTTATGCGAGATTTATACGTACATACAGACATTATGGGAGGGGGAAAACTTTTGAATCCATTTTACTTCGTTTCGGAAAAATGACTCCTTCATTTTGTGCGTACGTACAGACGTCATGAGGGAGAGAGAGAGGAGGGAAAAAAGTTCAACGGGACTCGAAAGCGTTCGAAATGGATATTTTCGTTGAAATATGATTGCCGAAATATTTAGTGATTAGAATACTTCCTTTATTTCGTACAAGGAAGTAATAAATAAAATGAAGTAGTACAGTGAACCTCTGTAAAACGATAACCGCTGTACCGGACCATTTTGGTCTTTTGCGAGGGAAATTGCTTTACAGCAATGATTCTTAAAATGCAAGTTCGAAAGAGAATTTCTGGCGAGTCGCAAAAAATTTTGATATATTCTTTCTCTTTTTGCATTATATATAATATATATATATATATATATATATAATGAATCAAACTTAGAATGTGATAATGACATAGAAATATTTGTAGAGTAAATGTAGAAATATTGCCTTTCGCAGATGCTGACAATGTGAATCCATTATAAAAAGCAACTTGGTAGCCGAGGCAAATTAAATAGTCTTTTTTAAACACGCTGCGGCCAAAACCAACTTAGCTCAGTGTTCGTGCCTGTTTTAAAACGTTTACACTTTGGATACTTTTACAGTAAGAAGAGAGCAGCAGTCCATCTAAGCCGAAGTATAGAAAGCAAGTCAGTTGTGTTTAGGTTGAAATCTTAATTCAGAATGAGTTCGTTTCGGTTGTCAATGCATTTGATTAGATAATACCGCTGCAAAATTATTAATGGCTGTTTGAGTTTTAATTCCATTTACATCACCAGTGTTATGAAAGTGTCAGCCGACATGGCTTAGTCTCAAAACGACACAGTGTAGAAAAAAGATTACTGAGTTTTAGAGTAGATGGGGGAATACATAAATTAAAATTAAGCATTAAGTGACTATTTCTAATTTAAATTATAATTCATATTTTATCTTACACACATATATATGTAAAATAAAAATACACAAATCAAAATTATAACTTAAATTTGCAATAGCGACGTAATTCTTTACTTTAATTCTGGTATTTCCCCTCTTTATTCTAAAAATAGCAATTGTTTATAACATTTTCTGGATTACGTCATTTCAGAATTAATCCGTTTCATGCCATCTTACGTAAAGTAGAGCAATGCGGGTATGTTATAGAGAAACACTTCTTCGAGAACTGAAACTTTGACTTTATATATCACGCTTTTTCTAAACGCGTACCCTTCTTTTCCACTTTGCCTCGTTGCTGCTAACATGCGTCGCTCGTTTCTCTCTGTCGTCTATTGTCTAAAGATGGACTATACAAGCTATACAAAATTGTGGGGTGCATATCGTACCCATAATGATGTGTGAAGAATATGTGCCTCGAGAATTAGCAGTCCAGAAATAAAATTATGGTATGTATCTACGGCCACGTCTATCTGCAATGTCATCATTATATCTACGTATTAAACCTCTCCATTCCATACCCCAGTTATTCTCCAGTCATTACGTTCATATATGACGTAATGACTGGGGAATGACGCAAACAAATGTTGAAGCACAAAACAGTAAAAGCCTGCAGTAATGGCAAATTTTAAATATTCATTTTATTTAATTAAACATTTTGAGACCACAAATATCTTGGCATATTAATCGCACCCGTTCCAGAACGTAACATTTACATTTCTGATACTGTCGCGATACGAGAAGCAGCAGTTAGACCGAAGGGAGGAAGCAAAGCGCGTAGTTATACAGTATGGAACTTAGTTTAAGAGAAAGGTTTCGGTTCTAGAAATTTTAAATTCCAAATTAGCTACGTCATCATCGTTATGTAAAAGTCATATGATATAGATAATCTTGAAATGACACAGTCCAGGAAAAATTATTATAAGCAACTGGTTATTTTCAGGACAAAAGGGAAAATACCCAAAAGAAAATGAAGAATTAAGAGGCTACTGTTACAAATTACAGTCTTGATTTATCTATTCTTTTATCATTCATATATAGTCATTCATATCTGTGTATGTACAACATAAAAATATAAAAGCAAACTTCTGATGTGACCGGCTGATTATGATTCTGATTTTGTGTCTTTTCATTCTGCTTTTTAATTTGTTCTAAAATAGTAATAGGTAGTCGCTATCAGAGATTTTACTCTGCACTAAAACTAATCCATGGCATCAATACATTCCAATAACATGTTTCACTTCATGCCATATCTGTAAAAATGAAACGAGCCTAAACCAAACTTACAAAATAGCATGCTATTGGCAAACAACAGAAGATCATCCAAAAAAAAAAAAAAGTGTTCTAATTATAGAAGTGTATTAAATTTAATTTGTTAATCAGGTAGAAATGATTCAAGACTTAAATATAGTGTCAGCTTTTGGTGATATTACGGTAATGAAATGAATGGGACTTCGAGAAAAGCAGGACCTATCAAGTTCTGGTTTGACGAGATTCTTCGTTATGCATGATGAAGCTAAACAGTGTTAGAAGAACTTACCTTTTACTTTGCGGATCTTGTTTAGGCTTGTAGAACAGTTTCAGAAACTACTGCGCAATTCAATGAATTTCGAACGAGATCGAACGGTTTCGAAGCTTGCTATGCAACAACTAAGCCAAATGCGAAAATTTAAAATGTGTTCGGACATCTATAAGCATTGTAACATTTGACTAATTTTAATGCGTTAAAGAGTTTCCGAA